GATACTCTGAAAGACGACTAGATCTTCATAAGGGACTTAGGCAACACGCATGGGGCAACAAATCTCTGCACTACTCATTTTATACATCAGAGTTTGCCGGATGATGTAGGTATTAGGATGTTTTCTTGACCTTTGCAAACTGCTACGATATCAGCTGCCGGTTTCAAGTTTGAAGAATGTACGACTCCGGGACTGGATCTTAACTTACCGTTCACTGCAACAACTGCAAGAAACAAGACCTACATTTTATGCTAATTATCACATTTGATCATTAGCTATCAGGCGGATAAATGCAAATAGCATATCTTAGGGGGTTCGCATGAAAAAGCATTCCCGCCTTACCTCTTATCCATATTGGTATAACCTCACCAAGAAACGTTGCTGTCAGAGTTTTTTTTTCATGATTCGAGCCCGGCACCTCCGTTGTTCAAAGCCCACTTTTTACTTCTGTGCTACCACTGTTTTAGTGAAGTTTGAAAATGAGTCAGTTAATGAATGGTGTAGATAATGTGTAGGCATCACTAGCTGCTCGTACACATGAGTGCATAAAATGGCTTCTCCAAGACCAGATTTTACGTTGCATTGCATAGCCACCTTGCTTCTAGTTGCCTTAGGTAGGTGGGGAGGGACAGTTAAGCAGACCACAGCTCCATTGTGTTTGGGCACCTGCAGTATCAGATGCATCTCGCATCGTCTTGTCCACTAGAGCCAGCTCACGTTCATCACAAACCAACTTTAAGGAGATGTTACTTCTTATGCGCTACCGCATTAACATCATATGTTGTTCGTACGCCTAGGTATATCAAATAGTAAATGACTCGTCCAAAATCAGATTTCACGACCTATGGTATCGTCGGCTTTTCAGAGCGTATTCTATGCGTAACATGACCCGTGATGCAGTTGGCATTACAGTTGCTAAAATACCATGGATCTTCGGTCTGCTTAGATGCTCCTCCAGGCGGTTTTGAGCAAGGAGGTAGTGCAATAAGTTTGGTCTTGTAGGAGGTATTCA